ATCTTACTTTACCTTTTTATTTCACATTCAGATTAGCTGTATAGAGCAGAAACATTTTGTTATAGAACTGTTTAGGATGCCAGTGATATATACATATGTATGTATACATACTGCTGAACTGTTCTTCTTGAGTGTGTAGAAGTAAAGACCCATGAAGCGTCTTTGTGGAACATTAATTGTTTTAGTTGCATGCACTATTTGTGAACTTCAGGGAATTTAAAAAATGATTCTTCAGATAAGTTATTTGAAAGAAGCGACAAATAATTACATTGTTGAATGAAATATGATGGGGATTTAATTTTCATACAAAAGATTTTCTAAGATGCTTCGTTCATTAATCTGGCCTTGACCGGTGCCAAGATTTTTCAAGTAGAAATTTTTTGTTCTTTTTTTTTAAAAGAAATTATTTGAAGCAGATACATAAAACTGTTCTACAATATACTCAGCAATAGATGGACTTCTTTTTGTATAATGTGGTATCGTTTACTAGTGTTAATGATTACATCTTTGGTGTCATTGATAAGGACTGATCTACTGTATTGTAACAGTGGACAACTGTTTGTCCTCATGTCGGACTGTATTTGCAGAAAGTATTTCATGAACAATAAAGGTATACAATCATAATTATCAGTCATGTCATGTTAATGACAAATAACTACCATTACATCAGTAATCTGTTAGTTTAAAACTGATTCTTATGGATTCCTTTCTAAAAATATTTAGAAAATCTTGCATCTGGCGCAAACATTAAAGAGCCACTGAGTTTAATTAGGATTTCATACTAATTAGTTAGGATTAACCAGATAATTCTCCATTTTTGAAACATGGTATAAATAATATTTATTAAATACACTTAGGTTTTTATTCATTATGTCCCAAAATGAGTGACAGACTTGATAAAATTAGCGGGAAAGTGTTTACAGACGTTAAGTCAGAAAGCTGGTTTCCCAAAAACTTCTATAGGACCGAAAGTCTTTTTTACAAGCAAATCTATCACCATCTGGTGGCCTTCAGATAGAAGGGCAGGTTTAAGGTACGTTGACATTGGCTTCTTTTTTCCGATCTGGATGCTAAGTCCATGCTTTACACTGTAGGTATGTGTCCTGCAGAATAGTTCCTATGGATTTATCCAGTGGGATAACAAAGGATAAACCCTAGTGCTTTGAGGATCCTGTGACTTTTACAACAAGTAGCTATTGCAGGGTCATCATCACAGGCTGTGGGAGATTATGTCTAATTGTTTTTAAAATAAATGTAGTTATAAACCAAAATCTAAAAACTTGAGGTATTTAAATACCTGCAGCCTCAGCCGCTAGGCACAAAAAGACGGATATGAACAACAACCAAAGTACTCATTCACAGTTTGCTACAAAAACCGCTGATGCCGGTCTGGTTCTTTATTTCTGTCCATGCAATATCTACAGTTTGTCTTTATGTAATAACATTTTCTTTTCTACATGTTCTCACATTTTACGACATATTTACATAAATAGTGCATATTCTGGACAGAGGATTTTGAATAGCAGCAGAGGGTTCATCAGACATTATCAAGAGGGTTGGTATGATAAAGGAGGATAGGATAGGGATGGAGGTAGATGATCTGCTATGACAAAAGGGAGCAGCTGTAATGGGAAATTATTATATTTATATATATTTCAACATCTGAGAGTCCCTGGTTCAAATCTCTTTGTAGTTTCTGTAAAAATCCGCTATATTTGCTAAACTACCCGCTGTGGCCAACCCTGCCGCCCTGCCAGTATTTTTTGAGCGTCCCACCTTTAACACCGAGACATTAAGAGCGCGTTCCATTTTGACCAATCACAGTCTTCAAGTGTTCGGGAAGATCCAATCAGGATTTCGCGCCACTGCTTACGTAACCACTCTCCGTTATCAGAGGGGCGGGCCCGCTTCTGCGGCTCCAGGATTTAATCCACGGAAACTAGAGACACTGTCTGACAGTGTTACACAGAAGTGGACCAACAACATCTGCAAAAATGGTTGAGGCTTTCTGCGCTACGTGGAAACTGGTCGACAGCCAGAACTTTGATGACTACATGAAGGCACTCGGTGAGCAAAAAAACGCCAGTACAGTTACCGTGATTTTTTTTTTTACATTTATTAAATATTGAAACTTTATTTAAACTTTTATTTTAAACTTTTACTTTATTTAAACTTTATTTAAACTTTTTTTTTTTTTGACAGGCGTTGGCTTTGCCACAAGACAAGTGGGTAATGTCACCAAACCAACTGTAGTGATCAGCCAGGATGGAGACAAGGTGGTGGTGAAAACTCAGAGCACCTTCAGGAACACTGAGCTCTCTGCCAAGCTGGGAGAGGAGTTTGATGAGACCACGCCTGATGACCGGCATGTCAAAGTAAGATGAGTAAAACTTGAGGATGTGATCACTGATGATTTCCTTCTGCTGGTCCTGAATAAAAAAAAATAAAAAATTGTTTTTTTTCTGCTCGTAGTCGACCTTCTCCATGGATGGAGATAAATTTGTGCATGTGCAGAAGTGGGATGGCAAAGAGACCAAGTTTGTCAGAGAAATCAAGGATGGGAAGATGGTGATGGTAAGACCGCCTGTTCTGCTGGGATTACATGTATCAGTTTTTAAGAGGCCTTTGAAAGCATCTTGTTCTGCAGGGAGGCTGGTTTACAAATAAACCAGCCTCCCTGCAGAACAAGATGCAAATAAACCAGCCTCACCTTGTCTTTGCATATATACATAACATATGACCGCAACAGACTGAAATACTTGCTGAATAATCAGATGCTAATGTTAACTGCCAGTCTGTCTAAAACAGATTTTCTTTTTTCTTCTGCCTCCAGACGTTAACCTTTGAAGGAGTCCAGGCTGTCCGCACGTATGAGAAAGCCTAATTTTCAACATCTACTTGAAAGAGCAAATCATTCCAGCTATCAGGAAATGTTGTTTTCCTTATTATTATTCTTTTTTTTAAGTAAAAAAAGTGTTTTGACATTTTGCTGTGATTTGCACTTGTTTGAACATGAGATAAATATTTTGTAAGATCTTTTGTGAAGGCCTCAACAAAAGGGAAAATAAACTTCTGGGCTAAACTTTCTCAACGTCTCAAAGGTTCATCAGAAACAGGACAGACTACTCACTTTTATTTACGGCATTTTTCCTTTGAATGCAGTTCCACATTTCTGCTCATATATGTCTGCTACAACCGTGGGAACAGTCCGGTCCCCGTCAGAGTCTGTTACAGGTGACAGCTGCAGGGTGAAGGTGCAGGCTGGAGCCGACCATGCAGCACCAGCAGCCAGCCTGACCATTGAACTTGCTGTGTGAATGCCCTTTAGTAACCCCCAGATGGTCAGAGATGGCGAGGAGCTAGGGGGAGGGTGGGGGTGGTGATGTCACTCGCCTCAAGATAATCCGGTTAAAGTTGTGGTGTCATTACGTAGAAGCATCATTCGATGCTGTGCGGACCAACCGTGACTAAATGCTGCCACTGGCGTGATGATAAGACAGGACACCACGCAGGATGTAGACAGTTTGGATGCAATAGTCACTCTAGTGTTAGAGTTTGCCAGCAAACCTTTGTCCAGCTGTGGGTTTTTATATCTCTAATATAAATATTATTTAACACTGTTTTAGTTCCTACATTTTAAGATGCTAAAGCCTCCCTTTTTCAGCTCTGTGCTGTGTCCAGCCTACTGAACACTGACTACAAGTGGCCATTCTTCTCATCTCAACACAGTTTCTGTTCAGTTTCTGGCCACCTTTGAATAGGCCGTAACACAAAGAAGCAGTGGTAACTGGAGTGGAACTCATTTAGCAGTGGCCAGATGAATTAATTTAAAGTCTGTCTTTATGCTCCAGTTATACAACACTGAAAAGCATTTAGGCTGCATGCAGTGAGAAGACAAGATCACGGGGTGTTACTTTCTCAATATTTCACAGTGGCATAATCACATAGAAAAGGGAGCTTATCGCATTCTGTGTAGCAGAAACAAAGACAGATAATAGCTAAGCGTCCTCTGTCTGCAGTGTTTGCTGTACTCTGGGAGAGCAGCGGGAGTTTCCTCTTTGTGAGGAATCTGTGTCAGTGGTGTATGCTGACCTGTAGTAACCCCTCCCTGGCCTTATTAGGGAAATAGAGTATAAAGACCTGACCATCTACTGTATATCCTCTTTGGTTCAGTTGTCTAACTGCTACAATCTTTCACTTAAACACACTGATCAGGAGTGTAGCTACCATTGAGAACACAGGCAAGACCCTGAGGTAATAAATATAATTTGTGAGGCTTAATAACATAAAGGTTAGCCTTGTATTAATGGGTTTTAATCAAATTTCACTACATTTAATATTAATAATCATTGAAATTCAGATGAAAAGTCAGTTTTTATTAATAAGTTTAAGTAGATTAACACTTGTTTTATGCAAATGGTTTAAAACCACACCTTTTCTTTACTGCTGATGCTAAAAACTTCTATTATCAGGTTAGAGGTTAGGTTGGGGATTAGCCTGATGACAATGTTTTGCCATCAACTCTCTGAAATCACATGGTCAGTCCTGCAGGGAATTCATCATGCCGGGATCAGTGGGTTTAACAGGGAAGTACATGTGAGTATCAGCAGCACAACAATGAAAAGAAACACCACGATGTCCCGTCTCGCTAATGCTTTTCATTGCTCGTGCGTTTAGTCTCCCGGTGAATTTGATCTCTGCTTGGTTGTTTTTCTGGACCTTTCCTTTCTCTCCTACATGTCAGATACAGTTGCCCGATCCTGAAATGACTCCTAGTTTCTTACAGGAAAAAATAAAATTGCTCCCAGAGATGTCCCCTACTGCACAACAGACACCTTTCTTTATACTTATCTCGATTTGAGGTGAAATACTGAAATACTTTCACATTTAGATAGTTAAAAAAAACTTCATGCATTAAACATAAAATATACAGTATAAAAACGACGTCAGCCCATTTTTGTGTTAGAAATGTTGGTATGTTTAAAGAAAAGTCAAAACACTTGCATTGCTATGTTTTAATGCCTAATTGTTCTGTTCACAAGGGTTTAAGTGACAAATGATACACATTGTGGTTTTTACTGCAGATGAAGAGCCGCTTCAGGAATAATGAATCAGGGATAAAACAATCAGTTTTTCTGTATAATTAACTATTTACATCAAGAACATTTTAACACAATGTGTATGATGTCAGCGACACCATACAGTGACACTGGCACACATCATCAAATTCACTGATTCCTGTCTTCAAGTGTTCACGCTATTAGGGAACCACATAAAAATATAAGAGCATAAAACAAAGGCACACACATCATGCATACTTCATTAAAAGACTATTAGACTAACATAATGCGCTTTGATCGCTGATCTAAGTATTGCACATGTTCACCTGGTAAACGTGAGTCATTAATATACAGTTTAAACAAGTTTATTTATCTTTTGGTACCATAAATAATAATAATGACAATAATGAAAATTGTTTTGTAAAAAGTGTCCAAAACTTCATCAGTCATACTGATGAATCGCAATTAAAATCTGAGCTCACTGAGAGCTGCAGAGTGTGAGCTTTCATTATTCCTAGACTGACAAAGTGTGCACTGGTATCATTTTAAAAGATAAGCAGATTTACATTTAAGCTTCAGGATTAGCGACACAGGATGTAAAAACTGCTCTCTGTGCAACATATGGAGCAAATGCAACAATGTAGCCATACGTAGCTGCTAAAAGCAGACTGAGAAATGTTTTACATCTGAGATCACCTGTCCAAACATGTGACACCTTCTGCAGCAACTTATAATGTGATCACACGGTGTGCCAGTGCAATCAACAATGTAAAATTTGACATTAGACTCAGCCAACATTGCTTTTGTGTTCATCAGACATTATCAAGTAAAGGATATTCAGATAACAGAAATCCTGTTTGTATTATGCTGCATTTTAGCAGCATGAATATGAGATATCATTATACAGTTCTCATTAATGTTATCTTAATGTTGCCATATCATATTTAGGCAATATTGATTGCATTCTTGTTTAAAGGAACCTGCTCAATAGGTTTCTACAGTTCGTTAGCTTCTACTGTGTGCGCACAGTGCAACAGCAGTGACCAAAGTCAGCTATAGTGTGATTTTGGTCAATCAAGGAATTTGCAGAATAAATCTAACACTTGATTTGCTGATGTTTTTGATAGATTGAAAGGAACAAAAAAAACAAACTGAACTCAATCCTCATTCTGAGAGTTCAGGCAATGCCTCTTACTAGCACCAATATAATAACGAGGAGCTGGTGCAGATATCCAGATGGTACAGTTTGATAAGACTTTAAATGTTTTAGGTAGCAAGATTGGGAGCTCTCATATACAGTGCATGGTCATTCCTTTTGATGCATAAAACAAAAATAAAAGGTAAAAAAGTCATTCAGTAATGATATGATATCTGTTGTGTCCCCATTTGGGAAGAACAATAGGAAACTGAGAATGAATCATGAACAAGTGCTATAAAGGGTGGGATGAGCAACATGATCAAGAAAGACGCCACAGAGATGTACAATTATAACGCAAACCACTGTTCAAGTAAATGTGGGCTAAGAAGGTCTGTCTTGGAGTAGCAACTGTGGCAGTTTTGTACCCTGTTAACCTCACAGTGTAAACTACTCTACACTTTGTAGCTACTTTAAAAATACTGCACCATTTTCTGGACCTTTTATGAGAAAATAAAGTAAGTTGTAAATATATTAAAGGGTTTGAATCCATAGAAGTGAAATAGTAAACTGCTTTATTTAAAATATGCAAAAGAAGTTATTACTTAACAAATTATTAAAAAAAGAAAAGAAAAGAAAAGGAATGACACTGACTGCATGTATTTGGTATGAGAGCTCAACCAATTCTGGAAAGAGAAAAATAACAGTCCATCTCATAACCCGTCGTCTTCTGCTGTGCAGGGATTTCTGCTGAAGGCGAACAACATCACCCGTGTTTCAACAGTACAGGGTGTGAGGTGACCTCGTCCTTATCGGTAATTTGACTAAATTGTAAATGTCAGACCACAGACTGACGTGTCAAATCTGCAGTGGCGAGAAGGCGTAAAACGGAAACTGGGCCTCGTCCTCATCCACAAAGAAACACTGGAAGTAGGGCAGCTCATCTGTAAAGAGATAAAACAGTGAAGAACAGTATGTTCCTTCCCTTTCCTTTAGCATTTGGAGAGAAAAGTTCCTGAAATTTGCACGCTCTGCAACATTTTGTTCTAAAAATCTGCACGTACCTTCCATGAGAAAGCTGTCCGATAGAGACGGCTCCACTGTTAAAATGTGAACATAATGTTAACTACAAATCAAAGTGTTATATGACTCTAAATTACAGGATCAACGTGATACCTTTAACTTTCTCCTCCTTATCAGCTTTCTTCTCAGCAGTTTTTCCTGCAAACGTTTTGCATACAGTTAATAAAAGCTATAATGTAGGTTTTTTTTGAATACTCAGAAATGAAGGGTGTCACAAACAAACCTTTCTTTGCAGGCTCTTGTATCTCTTTGAGAACCCTGTCCTCTGTAAAAGGCAGCAAGACATAAAAAAGTCAAACAGTTTTTCTCAAGTGTTTAATTTGAATGTATTTGACATAAAAATTTATTATTACATGAATAATTTAAATGTGTGTTTTCTCTTAAAAAAGAAAACACAACATTTTTCTTTTTTAAAAGGAAAATCGCTTGAGAAACATCTGAATATTAAGATAGTCGCGGATTATTTTCACCCTGTTCACTAATTAATCAAACAGCGGTTTCAACTCAGTAATAGTGACTGCGTGTTCTACATTTATGTTAGTTTCTCCAAGCTGACTGCATACCTTTCTTTGTTGCAATGGGCTTTATCTTTTCTTTTAAAACACGAGGCTCTGTTTCACAAACATGAAGCAAACACAAACAGGCATGAAATACACAACAGTTATGCATAAAAATTACTGGAGGGAAGAAAAAAGTGAAGCTTTAAAATAAGTGATTTTTAATTTCAGTAAAGGGTAGAAGACTCTTTTTTTTGCAGATGTAATGCAACTGAATGACTTAAAAACGCTTATGAAAACCAAATGCGCAGAATGAAAAGTGATGCCCAGTAAGCTCAGAGAAAAATGTTAAATGAAGAACCACTTTCTAATAAAGTAACCTTTAAGATTTATAATGTGCTACTGCTTGGTATATACACTCTCACTTCATTAGGTACATCGTCCAACTGCTCATTAAAGCAAATATCTAATTATCCAATCACAAGGCAGCAATTTAGACATAGGCAGATGACCTTCTGGAGTTCAAACCAGGACCAGAATGGAGAAGAATGGGCTGCTGCTTGTGTAATCGTATTGGAGATATTTTCACTTTAGTACCAACTGGACATGTCCATCTCTTTATGACCACCGTCTGCCCATCTTCTTATGGCTACTTCCAGCAGGTCAACTTGCCATGTTACAAAGCTCAGATCTTGACAATGAGTTCACTGTACTCAAACGGCCGCCATAACCACCAGATATCAATCCAATAAACAACTTTCAGGATGTAGTGGAATGGGAGATTTAAATCATGGATGTACAGCTGACAAAACTGCAGCAACTGTTATGCTAACACGTCAACCAAAATCTTTGAGGAGTGTTTCCAGCACCTTACTGAGTCTGGGGCTGCACTTACGGCAAAGTGGAGCTTAATATGGTACTGGCAAAGTGTATCTAATAAAGTGTCTGGTGAGAGCATATATTTAAAAAACAACAACAACTTGGGAGCGCTAGGTTGTGAAAACATGGCTTTTTAAATTCGCAATTAATTAAAAAAGAGCCACGTGTGATATAGATGAAAATCTGCTTGGTTTTATAGTTTAACTACAGATTGGATAACGTTTCGTCAACTTTCATAACAGAATTATAACGAAATACATCAACAGCCAGATTTCTCAGACTCTGTGTTCTCCAAGCATAGCTCATAAATCATTTTTAAAGAAATTATTTAGAAAATATTTATTCATGATTAAGTTAGTAGTTACAACCTATAAATCCTTTATGTATGAGGCCTTATTAGAAAGTGGCAGTACATTCTCAGATTTGTGGTAATTACCTGCATGCATGCTTTGTGTAAAAATTACTGTGAAGCATTTTTTTCTTACATCAACCTATAAATATTTTATTGATGGCAGATTAACTAACTTTGAGATAATTTCCTTGCTGGCCATTCAGTTGCCTATAATCTTTGCTAATTTAGGATTTTCATTTGAAGCTCTTTACTTAGATGTCTGGTTGACTATTTCACACCCAGCAAGAAAATCTTCTCAACTATCAGCAGCAGCGTGTTTAACGGTTACTTAATTTTTATAAGCAAAATAGCTGTTTCCCCTCTAAGTTACTTATCTACATTTAGAGGGGCCTTCATGTTGTAATCAGATTACCACTGATGGTTACATGAAGTATGAAGTGCTGCCTGCACTGAAGCACCACATGTACCTTTCTTCACGTGGACTGGTTTGGTCTTTTCCTTCAACATGGCTGTGCCATCAGGGACAAAAATGCAATCGATAAAACATACAGTTGGAAGTATTTCAGTGTATTTAAGACATCAGAAAATCTCAAATTTGTGACAGTATCCTGACATTACATGTAGCCGTAAAGCCCTGTACCCACAGTCTCATAAATAAAGTGTAAAACTTTGCACTGTACCTTTCTTTGCTGCAGCAGGCCTGGCCTTTTCTTTAGGTGTTTCCAGTTCTGTAAAAGAACAACTTTGGTCAGACTTTAGCAATCAACCTGAAGAATTTTACTGCAGAAGCCACAATGAGCTTACTTTTAAACAATACTTATAGCAGCTCAAACCACTTTCTGCAGTGTGAAAGCTTCAATTATTTTTTTAAATTACTAATTTAGTCCATTCTACAAACAGCCAGAACACATTTTTAGTTTGTTTTGTCATCTTTTCAGATATGAAATAGGCCTATTATGTTATTTTAATTATACAAAACATTCCTTTTCCTTAGTAGAAACTACTTTTCTTTGGTTTGCTTCTGACTTTGTGCAGTACTTGGGGGTCCATGTGGCTGCGATAGAGCCAACGATCTGTTTTTGCACATTATTAAATCAAATCCACTGGTAGATTTCTTCTATAGAGAATTCCTAGATAAGTCGTTGCTCAGTCTTTAAAGAACAAAACAATGATTCTACTTGTTGCCCATAACACCAAAGATTTTTATAAATTACCTTTTTTTACAGCTGGTTTTGCTTTTACCTCTGGTACTTTTGGCTCTGAGTAATAAAACAAAAAGGTATGATATGTAAGATAATCAGTGTTTATCTACACCATTATCATTATTTTGTGATAGTTTTCTAATGGTACTACATAATAAAAAGTATCTACATGCAGATGGCAATGGCAGTCTACCTTTTGTCTTTAGAAGGGATTTAATCTTTTCCTTCTTTGCTTCGACCTCTGCTTTAGGAGCTGTAAAACAGGGAAAAATAACATTTTCAACTTTTTTTTAAAGAACTATTTTTAAAGAAGTATAGAGTGTGTATGATCTATAACAGAAATAGAATAGATTGCCTAGCTTAGGACTATTTAAAGAGTTTAAATCAAACATATACCTTTCTTTTCAAGAGCTGGTTTCGGTTTTTCCTTTGTAACCTCTGGCTCTGATGAAAAAAAAAGCATGAAAGTGTTAATAATAATTCACTTTAATAAATAATAACCATGGATTGTAAGCAATTCACCTTTCTTAGCAGGAACTGGCTTAGCCTCAGCTTCTAAAGAGAAAGGGAAGAAAAGAGGTCATATGAGAAGAGTGATGACTAGCATCACTTATAGCTAATTGCAAAACTAAAGCAACACAGTGCATAAACCCAGTCTATTGCTTAAGCATGTATTGAGGAATGCTGAAACATGAAAATAACCAAATTGAAAAGGACAAAACTCAACGGTAACATAATAACTTAATCAAAATAAAAGCAGATTATGGTACTTTGAGCATTTTTAGTTGGGTCATTATCACGTGGCAGTGAAGCATATCGTCAGCAGCTACATGTCAGCGAATCAGTCGTGATGTGACGTGGG